GATTTATGTTCCGGAGAGAACCTCAGCGGATTGTGAGATGGAAATTGGCAAGACCACTCGCACAGATATAGAATGTAAACTGAAGATAAATGAAGTATATATATATATATTATATATATATTGCGTGTGGTTAGACTATAGTCAAAGGAAATTGGGAAGCAATCTTCCGAGTTACGGATGACTTTTACTCAATGAGCATAGCGTTCGGGATTGGGGTCCGCTAAACGTTTTTCGCACCGATACACCGATGCACCGATACACCGCGCGCGCACCGATACACCGATACACCGATTGCCGCGCGCGCACCGATACACCGATACACCGATTGCCGCGTTCGCACCGATACACCGATACACCGATTGCCGCGTTCGCACCGATACACCGATACACCAATACACCAACACACCGCCTACGCACCGATACAACCCCCTGCGCTACACCGTTTGCCGCGCGCGCACCGCACCGATACACCGATACACCGATTGCCGCGCGCGCACCGATACACCGATACACCGATTGCCGCGCGCGCACCGATACACCGATACACCGATTGCCGCGCGCGCACCGATACACCGATACACCGATTGCCGCGCGCGCACCGATACACCGATACACCGATTGCCGCGCTCGCACCGATACACCGATTGCCGCGCGCGCACCGATACACCGATACACCGATTGCCGCGCGCGCACCGATACACCGATACACCGATTGCCGCGATACACCGATTGCCGCGCGCGCACCGATACACCGATACACCGATTGCCGCGCGCGCACCGATACACCGATACACCGATTGCCGCGCTCGCACCGATACACCGATAGACCGATTGCCGCCCTCGCACCGATACATCGATACACCGGTTGCCGCACTCGCACTGATACACCGGTTGCTGCGCTCGTGCTGATACACCAATACACGGACTGCCGCGCACGCATTCATGCGCCGATACACCGATTGCTGTGCTCGCACTGGCACACCGAGACCTCGCCATTTTGTGCGCTGCGGCATCATGGAACGCGATGTAATTATTTGGATAATTTTGGATATATCCTGCAGATATATACATATAGGCCTTTCTGGATGGGTTCACATCGGGGGTAGAGGAATTTGTCTTTCGTATAAATTGCAGGCGCACTTTTTTTTTCTATTTTGGTAAGCTTCAGCAGTGCAGCGGTGACTTAGAGACTGTGGGTGGCCCTTGCTCCAGCATTGGCATTCGCTCCCTTTCGGTGGCGTCCACGCGTGAATTGCTGTTGTATTTTGTGCTTTGGTTTGGGAAGACTGATGCATCTAGGTTGGGCTACTGGTAAGGGTGGAACTGGCTGGGTGCTCTTGAGTTTTCACATTTGATGACTCAGGGTGCTTGAGGCTTTGCCCCCGACTGGCGTGTAGTGTTGAATGTTTCGCAACGAAACATTTCATTGATGACTGAAAGAGTGAATAGACCACAGAGGTACCCTAAGTCTCGAAAGTTAGTAATTTTACTCGCCCTGAATTTTACGTAAAATCGATTGTTTTACTAACGTTATTTTACGTAAAATTTTACTAACGTTAGTAAAATTTACTAACGTTAGTAAAATTTTACTAATGTTAGTAAATGATTTTACTAACGTTAGTAAAAAAATTTTGCATGCTTTCAAAAATTGTGAAAATTGTGTTTTTTTCTATTGTTTTTCTTAGGAATTCTGATATTTTTTGTGATGTGTGTGATTGTGGTTTGCGATGATTTGGCTATGAGTGGGGTGTTTCCAGTGGAGGATTTCAATCGATATGTTGTTGTTACTGTAGAAGAAACTGCACTTATGTGTTGAGGAATGCCTTTACATGAGTTTGTACTGGAGACTTTACTTGCGATTTTATATGAGTTCTTGGTACTTTCTTGGGACTTTACCTGAGAGTTCTTTTGAGATGTTATGTGAAATCATGTACATCTATAACTATATCTATATATCTATATAAACATATAAACTGGATTTACATAATAGGTGAATCCACAAAAGGAATTTACATTGGATCTTGACTTTAAGAAGTCATTGCAAAGCATTTACATTTGAAAAAGAAAGTCTAGATAAAATTTTGGGTAAATGAGACTAGGTGAAATATGAAAGCAATAATAACCACATCTTATCATTTTTTCCAGGCAAGGAAAGTGAACCAAATTTTATTGGATCAGGTTTGTTTGCTACAAAACTTGATCAACTTACATAAAACAATTGTCCATGGGGACTGAAGACATGTCTTTTTCAAAGCTAAATTTAAAAGGGAGCTCATAGACTCTTGTGGTGCTTTTTTTCTCATACAATTTGGAGAAGGTCTGGATGAAATCCTGGTAAACCTTTGGCTGGCTTGAAAAAATACATCCAAGAAGTCTTAGTGAGACCCTTACTCCACTTTCAATTCCATATGAATATTTTTTCACATGTGTCCAAAGTTTTTTCAGAAAAATGCTTGAACACGGTCAAAAATGCAATGCACTTCTGATGCTTTTGGTGCACTTTTGATGCACTTTTGGAGCACTTTTGATGCACTTTTGGTGCACTTTTGGTGCACTTTTGATGCACTTTTGATGCACTTTTGATGCACTTTTGATGCACTTTTGATGCACTTTTGGTGCACTTTTGATGCACTTTTGATGCACTTTTGATGCACTTTTGATGCGCTTTCAAAAGTGATGCACTTTTGATGCACTTTTTGCATCAAAAGTGCGTCAAAAGTGCGTCAAAAGTGCGCCAAAAGTGCGTCAAAAGTGCGTCAAGAATTTATGGCATTTTTCTTGGAAAAAATAAAAAATGATAAGGTTCTCTCTCAAAAAGAGATTGCATGCATTGAGTTTGAAGTAAAACTCATTCAGTGCAGTCTCAAGTAAGGTGCAAAGTGCAATGATAGCAAACTCAGTAGAGTTCACTGACAACAGTCTCAAGTAAAGTTCACTGGCAACAGGCCCGAGTAAAGTTCATTGGATGCAGCCTCAAGTAAAGTTTATTGGATGCAGCCTCAAGCAAAGTTCATTGGATGCAGTCTCGAGTAAAGTTCACTGACAGCAGTCTCAAGTAAAGTTCACTGACAACAGGCTCAAGTAAAGTGCACTGACAACAGTCTCAAGTAAAGTTCACTGACAGCAGGCTCAAGTAAAGTTCATCGGATGCAGTCTCAAGTAAAGTTCATTGGATGCAGTCTCAAGTAAAGTTCATTGGATGCAGTCTGAAGTAAAGTTCATTGGATGCAGTCTCAAGTAAAGTTCACTTACAGCAAGTAAAGTTCACTGACAGCAGGCTCAAGTAAAGTTCACTGACAACAGGCTCAAGTAAAGTGCGGTGACAACAGTCTCAAGTCTAGTTCATTGGATGCGGTCTCAAGTAAAGTGCACTGACAGCAGGCTCAAGCAAAGTTCATTGGATGCAGTCTCAAGTAAAGTTCACTTACAGCAGTCTCAAGTAAAGTTCATTGGATGCAGTCTGAAGTAAAGTTCATTGGATGCAGTCTCAAGTAAAGTTCACTTACAGCAGTCTCAAGTAATTTTTTTTTGGATGCAGCCTCAAGTAAAGCGCAGTGTCAACATTTTCAAGTAAAGTCTTTATGCAGAAAAGTTTCTTGGATCTGTTTTCATGTAAAGCCAACCTCAGCGAACAGCAGCAGCACTTTTTTTTCACACCCCAATGCAAGCTATCAGGAATTGACCGTCTATCTTTCTTTCAGAATGTTTTCGTTTTGCGGCAAAGGACATATCCTTATGCAGGTTCCACATGCTAATTTCTTCACATTCCTCAACAATATTTGCATATTCATTCTGCTTCTTATATCAAATTCAAGGAAATTCGAAAACCTATCACACATCTTCTGGCACATTTTTGATGCATTTTGATGCATTTTTGATGCACTTTTGATGCACTTTTCCTTTTTTTACATTTTACTAATTTTGCAAAAATCAACAAAAATTTTACGTAAAATCTTCGGGATTAGTAAAATTACTAAATTAGTAAAATTACTAGCTTTCGAGACTTAGGGTAACTCCATTCATGATGTTTTTCGCACAAGAATGGGTTTCTCATAATTTTTGCAAGCGGATTTGGAGATGATTGATTTCTAATTCCTTTCGTTGGAGCAGGGTTTGAAAACACTAACAAATCTCACCGACTTGGCGGAAGACAATGACAATCTCGATCCAAGAATTGAATCGCATGAAGGTCAGAAGTCAAACAACAAAAAGCATATACTGCTGCTATGGTCACAAAAGAGCTTACAAAAGGGAGGCCGAAACCTGTCAGTCAGAGAATTCCCTCTCCGGCTAGTATTGAATAGCCCCCAAACAGATTGGATTCCAGTTTATGCATAGATCCAATACACTCCGATACCAGAGCAGGGTTTGTGTGGGTTGTATTTCATGTATATATATATATATTGGCTGGAAGGGGCATACAATAATTGAGATATGGTGTTCATGAATTTTCCGGAGTTAAATTAGTTCCCACAGGGTGGCGAATACATTGATTGTTTCTCAATCAATGTCATCACAAAGTTTTAAACATGTTGTTTTCCTTGGAAGTGCTTCATGAGCTCACTCACAAGCCAGAAGCTTCACAAGGTGGTCTCGATTTTCACAATGTTTCAAGACAAGAGCCAGAGGCCTGTGCAGTTTGGAGTTCACAGTGGAGCAGTAGGACACAGACCAGCAATTTTTGATCTTCTATAGCACCATCGATTTCAGTTTGGTGCGCGTCATGTTTCAGATCAGTTCATTGCCGCTTACTCACACGACAGCGCAGGAGAGATCTAGTGAAAGTTATTTACCTTGGCACCGTGACTTTTTGAAGCCGAGCATGTCCATTTCAACGTGCTTGACACTAAAACGACCCAATATAGTTCATGACAATATGCTGCCATGAGCAAAAGCATGTCAAAACAAAACATCATGTCGAAATTTGCAGTTAGCAGTTGCGAAACATTTTCGATGCTAGATATTTTCGATTCCTGTATCACAGATCGTATTCCAGCAGCATGACCAACGAGGTGTACAAGTGGCCAATCCAAAGTCGTCGGAAGAAAAGAGAACCTGCGGCGCCAAAGTGCCTCAAACGGCCGCCGCCATCAGTGCTGCCCGGCGCAAATAAGCGTCAGAAGCCGTCTGCAGCAAGCCCAGCCACACTTCTTGGGCCGACACAGGCCGCAGATCGTGTGGCCGTCAAAGACTCGGAGCATCTTCACACTCTGGCTCAACGTTTGGCTACCGGGCGGACTGACGCAGTGCTCCTTCAAATCCTACACGCGAATCCATTCAAGAAGACTTTGCTCGACAAGCCGCCGTCCATTACAGGCAGGGTTAGATAAATTGCATCACTCAACCAAGTCAAAATAGCTTTGTTTGTTCTTTGCATCACATGTTTCTTTCTTGGGCAGACAGCAGCCAGGTGGTCAGCCATGCAGAGGCATGACCGCAGACCTACATGGATCGACTGTCTTTGTGTTGGATACTTTCATGCGCCGAGGCACTCTTCATGCAGACGTGGCACATGTGCGTGCAAGGGACAAGCGAAACACAGCAGCGAACTCCAGCACTAGTTTTTCTCTCGGAACACTTTCAACAGTCAAAGTTCAAGATCTGTCCAACACAAGAGTCGAGCTTGTGGTGACCACAGTTCACGGGCGAGATGTCCATCTGGAGAAAGTTGGAGGCAAGCTTCAAAACTTGGACCTGCTTCCCTTGCCGCTGCCATCTATGCAAGCGCCAACATTGAAGGGTCCCATGTCCAATGGCGACAACGAAATTGTCACCGTCGCACCCCAAGCCGCATTACACCACACCCAGACATTTGGTACAGCCAAAGAGCCCCATAGAACTGAGCCAAGAGCAGACAAGATGTGGTCAGGTTGGATTCTGGACGTGCCGCACTCTGTGCAGTTTTGCGCGCAGCCACATCGATGTGTTACGTGCAAGGGAAGCGGTGGAGCAAAAGTTGAGGACAAGGGGAATTACCAGGTCACAGATGCTGATGTGCTTCGAGCTTTTCCAAATGTCATTGTTGTTAAAGCGCCGCAGCAAAAGAGGCATTTCATGACCAGGCGCTACTTGCTGGAGATCTTGCTGCATTTCTATAGTTCTCTCAATTGCAGAGAAATCCGTCGCAAGCTCATGGATGTTTGCGCTGCGCAGACATTGCATGCTGATTTGCTCTGGCAGGCGCATGCGACACCGAAGGCCGAAGTTCTGCGGTGGACAGTCCGGCAAGCCTTTGGTAAAACCTTGGGAAACATTGTTGAGTCTCTGCAATCCAAGCTCTTTGTCTACAACGGGCAAGGTATACGTCACGATGGCAACATGAAATTGGCCAAACGAGTGATGGTGCCTAAGGAGAGGATCTTCCCTCGCTTGGGTCGGAAACGACGCATCCTCGGCAGTCGCAAGAGGTTCGGGCGGGTCGTCCTCGCTTTCACAGGCTGGGTGGTGTTTCTTGAGATCTGGAAATCAACAGTCAGATTGAATAGCATCTAAAGTTGTTTAAAGTGGAAAACATTGTGTTCCTCAACATGAGCACCTGGCCCTCTCTATACCCTGAGGATCCGATATTGAAAAACTTCAATCCCTGTATTGAAAAAAATCATTTTCAATAATATTGAAAATGGCACATGTTGGGACCTCAAAAATCAATACCATGATCAATCCTATATTGATCTTGAGATTGATCAAGATTGATTAAAATTGATGGAAAATATTGAAAATGATATTGATCGATATTGATCGATATTGATCTTGGCAAAGCTTTTTCTTTGACAAGCTGAAGGTGTCAGGGCTTTCTTTGAAGCCATGTCTACAGCAGCATTCCAGGCTTGGCTTTCTTTCAAGCCTCTAAATTATTTCATTGATTCTGAGCTGCACAGCCATGGTGTACTTTGTGATGAAAGATTCACTGATTCTCGAAGCTCTGGTTCCATGTGAGCAGCTGTGGCCCAAGGTTGCAATGTATCCCATGAATGATTCTTGCTTGTATGTCCAGCAGGTAGCTGGGTTTTGGAAATGCAGCATCAAAGCAATGTGTGCCACATAGTGGCATTTAGGCGTCAATGTGAATCTGACTTCATCTCCAAAATGGCGGTGCAACCAAATGTAATGCTGCATGCTTTCTTTCAAGCACTTCTCAGCTTTTGTGCTGTCCTTCATGAAAAAATCATCTTCTGAAATGATGGCATAGAAATTTGCCATTTGGTGGCAGCATTCAGCCATGTGGGCAAAAGCCTCACATTCACTGGCCTTCTTCCAGGCCACCATGGCTAATGCTGGCATGAGATGTCGAATCTCTCCTGCATGGCCTTTGAGCTTTGCTGGCTGTGAAAATGGGTTTCTTTCAGAAGTAAACATAGAAACCACGAGGTTGTTGTACTTCTCTGTGATGTGCAATTCTGCGTATGCTTCTTTGAGTAGTGCCCATATTTTGGCAGTGTTGCCAGGCCCAACCTCTTTTTTGGATCCAGGTGGATATGCCCAGGCATGTAGGATGGAGCCTGCCAACCTGGCAGTCACACCTAAATCTAAAGTGTGCAAGACATCGAAGCACACTCTGTATTCTGGTAGGCCACCAGGGATTTTGAACAGAGTGTGGTTGGTGCAAGGGCTTTCTTTCAAGCCTTCCAAAGATTTCATTTCCCATCCAGGTTCAGAGGTGAAATCAAAAGGGTTTTTCAGATGGTTTCCTTTCTCACAATCACAGAGCCAGCAAAATTTTTTGCTTTGCCAATGGGGGAAACCTAGGTGATTTGCATAGTATTCCAAATCGCCTAAAAAATTGAACACCCAGAAGGAATGCCCCTCAGGTGTAATTGGCTTTCTTGCAAGCCTTTTCAAATTTGTTGGCAGTGGCCTCCCTTTCCAATCCACGTCTGGGTGAAAACCTTGGAAAAGAGCAGTGAAGCTCCAAGCCATGACCTCATGGATTTCCACCCATGTGTTGGAAGCAGCTGCTGACTTTGGCCATGCAGTTATGAGGAAAGAACTATCCATGGGGTGGCTGGGATGCATTTCCCTTGCGCCTTCTTTCAGGCCTTGAGGAGCATAAAGCGTGGGTCCCCAGGTGAATGTCATTAAGGAGTCTGTGGAAAATTCGACACCATCTCCATGAAGCCAGAGAGGGATGGTTTTGTGTTTTTGGCTTTCTTTCAAGCCACTGTCCCACAGCCTGGGGTCATTGCTTTTCAAGTTTCCCCAGAAAGCTTTCAACTTGTGAAGGCCAAAAAGCGAAGGAGCCAACTTAGGATAGCTGCTGAATAATTGCCAAACCAGCAAATGTGGCAGTACAATGTGGCATGCTGCCTTGGTCTCTGGATTTTCTTCTTTGGCATCCAAGGCAGGAACCTGAATGGAAATTGTTGGGCTTTCTTGCAAGCCCCCGTGCATGGACTTTTTCAACCTAGCCCTTAATAGCCTTACAAGGTCTCTATGGCAATTGCTTGGGTATTGACCAAAGGTTCCTAAGCCGCTCAATTCCACTATGCTCTCACATTGCAAGCCATCTGCAGTGGCTGCAAAAGCGATTTCTTGGAGCCCTGAGCTACTTAATTTCCCCAGGGACCAAAGTTGCAAAAGTTTCTTGCTTAGAGCCTGGCCTTCTTTCAGGCCTGGAGCTGGTCTTTTCCTAGTGTTTGTTAATTCTATTTTCTGATGGATGCCTGGCATGACCTTGAGCCATCAAAAACAGCTGCAGCATGCATGTATCTTACAGGTGAACCTCTTTACCCAAAAAAAGCTGCCTGGGGGCTGGGCATGCAAGCTGCTTATTTTTTTTGCGGGGCAACCATGCTGTCGCAAGTCAAGGCAAAAGTGGCCATGTCCCAGGCCTTCTTTCAGGCCAATCCTAGGCAGTGAGCAATTTCTTGAAAGCCTTCAGAGCTGATGCTGCTTCCAGCAAGTGGTTCTTGATGCCTTCCAGCTCACCATCTGTTGCCAAATCTTCCAAGCTGTCTCTAGATTTGATGAGAGCTTGCAGGACATCTGCACCCCAGCTGGCATCTTTGGCTTTCTTGCAAGCCTTCTTCAAATCAGCCACTCCTTTGCTGACCAAGGCCAGCATCTTCTTGACCTTACTGTCCTTTTCGTTTTCACCCACTTGTGTGGCTTCCTCTAACTTTGTGTGCCATTTTTTGTCTGCTTCCTTTTTTTTGGCAATCTTAGTCTTCTCTGCCTGAGCTTTCTTGCAAGCTCTGCTGTCCTCCTCCTTGACTTTCTCTTCCTTTGCGAGGTGCTTCTGCTTGTCAGCATTTCTTTTTTCTTTTTTCTGAGAGACCATAGCCTGGCCTTTTTTCAGGCCTTGCAGGAAACTTGCTGCAGGATTATGTTGCTCTGCTGAACTTTCGTCCTCATGTTCAGAAGAAGTTTCAGAAGGTTCTGACAAAGCATCTTCAACCTGGAAGCCTTTCTGTGGCTTTTTTTCAAGCCAAAGGTCATCCCATTCCTGTTTTGTTCTTGCTGCTGCTAAGGCCTTCTTGCAGGCCTTCAGTTCCTCACCTTGCAGTGCTATTTCTTGCTCAGCAGCAATCCTTTTTTTTGCTCCAGTGTGAGCTCGGTCCTGATCTTCACCAGGAGAAATTCATAGAATTTCTTTCCCACCTTTTTCACTGCTATTAAACCACTCTCTACCCTGGCCAGGGCCTCCTCTTCCCCATACCAGTCAAGGATCTGCTTCCAGGGGACCCACTCAAACCATTCTTTCTCCTTCTTGGAGTTGGCGACTTCTTGGCTTTTTTTCAAGCCCCCTTCCTGGGCCTGACCAGTCTTCAGGAAGTGCAGAAGCAGTTGCTTCTTCTGATCCAGGACACCTGGGCCACCCATCTGGAGCCAAGCTGCTTTGGCTTCAGGGTCTTTGTTCCTGGCTCCTTCATATTTTTTCCACAAGGCAGCTCTGTCTTTGTTGGAGATTTCCTGCCAGAATGCAGCCTCTGACAGGTGGCCTTCTTTCAGGCCTTGGATGGCTGCCTGTGTTTTTTCGTGAAGTTTGAGCCTGGAAGAAGTCAAAGTGGCACCAGCCTCAGAGCCTTCTTTCAGGCTTGCCTGGGCTGCCTTTGCTACACTTTCTGGAAGCATCTTTGCTGCTTCCTCTATCTCAGCCTCAGCAGCTGGTTTCCCTTCTTCAGAAGCATCTGGTTGGTGGCCTTCTTGCAGGCCCTCTTGCTGCTCCTCAGCAGTTGCCCCCTGGGTTGCTTCTTCCTGAGTTGCTTCGGGCTCAGAAGCTCCTACTTGGCCTTCTTGCAGGCCTTCTTGCTGCTTCTCCTCAGCACTTGTCTCTTGTGTTGCTTTCAGTGGTTGGCTTTCCTCATTTTTTTCATTCAGTTTCTGTGTTTTTTTTTCTGGCTTTCTTTCAAGCCCTCAAGGGATGCAGGCCTTTTCTTGGCCATAGCCTCCAAGTACGGCTGGGGATTTGAGTTCTGAAATTGCTACAGAAAAAAAGGTTTTGGTTTACATGAAGTTTGAAAGTTAACATTAAAAAAAAAACATGCGTGTGAGTTTGCCAGACCCCAGGGAACTCCACAGGATGGTTTCGCGCAGGTTTCGCGCAGTTGGGAACTCCACAGGATGGTTTCGCGCAGGTTTCGCGCAGTTGGGAACTCCACAGGATGGTTTCGCGCAGGTTTCGCGCAGTTGGGAACTCCACAGGATGGTTTCGCGCAGGTTTCGCGCAGTTGGGAACTCCACAGGATGGTTTCGCGCAGGTTTCGCGCAGTTGGGAACTCCACAGGATGGTTTCGCGCAGGTTTCGCGCAGTTGGGAACTCCACAGGATGGTTTCGCGCAGGTTTCGCGCAGTTGGGAACTTCACAGGATGGTTTCGCGTAGTTTAGGCGCAGTTGAAGTTATTTTTTAAATTATAACATTTTTATGACATGCTTTTTTTAATTAAATGTTTCTTCTTTTTTCAAATAGTATTGGCTCTCTTTCAGTTACCTTAACTATTATTTCTTATTATTTCATTTTATTTTATTTTTCAATATTTTATTTACTTTTAAATTTCTTATTATATTATTTATTATCTTTTTTTCTTTTTTATTTATTGGTCGCTGAAGCAGGGGGGCCTTCTTTCAGGCCTGTCCCCTGGTGAGACAGCCTGAGGTGGTTTGGCTTTCTTTCAAACCTGTTTTTGGTTACTTTTCTTCCTTGTGGCTTTCTCTCAAGCCAAGTTTTTGTGCATGCCAATTTCTTCCCTGTGGCTTTCTTTCAAGCCTCACAGGTCAGAAGCATCCACCTCTTTCTCTCTTTTTTCTTTTCCCTCCTCCTGCCCCTCCTCCTCCTCCTTGACCACTTTCTTCCTTTCCTTTCGCTTCTTGGCTGTTTTCCCCTCCTCCATATCCTTGTCATCTTCCTTCTCCTTCTCCTTGGGCTTCTCTTCCTTTTGGGGCTTCTTCTCCTTCTTTGCAGCTTCCTTTTCCTTGGAAACCTTTTTCTCCTTTCGCTCCTCCTCCTCCTTTGCAGCTTTCTTTTCCTTGTCCTTGGGGGTCCTTTTTCTTTGGCTGCTCCTCCTCCTCCTTTTCCTCTTTCTCCTCCTCCTCCTGCCAGTCTGGCTGCTCCTCCTCCACAAATACCTCCTCCTCTTCACTGTATTCATATGAATAAGAAGAGGAGGAGGATCTGCCGGCTTTTTGTTTAGGCCTTCTTTCAGGCCTGCTGCTGCTGCTGTCCTTCCTTTTTGGCCTTCTTTCAGGCCTGCTGCTGCTGTCCTTCCTTTTTGGCCTTCTTTCAGGCCTGGCCCCTGGCCCTTCCTGCAGGACAACCCCTCTGGCAGGGCTGGGGCTCATCTCCTGCTTGCTGAGCCATGCAGCCTTCTCTTCCAAGAAGGCTGCCTTCTCTTCCAGCAACTGCTTTCTTTCAAGCATTAGTTGCTCCTCCTCCTCCTTCACCTCCTTCTCCCTCTCCTTGATCATCCTCCATTTCCTGCTCCCTTCATGCAAAGGCTGAACCTTGTCTTCCTTAAAGCCTTCTTTCAGGCCCTTCTCTTTCCTGGCTTGGACTTCAGGGTCTCTGGCCCTCAAAGCCTTTCTCGCTTCCCTTCCCCTCTTGCCCCTGGCTTCTTGCCTGAAAGGGTCCCAATCCTCCTCCCCTGGTCGATGCTCAGGGACAAAAGCTGGCCTTCTTTCAGGCCTGCTGCTGCTTGCACCTGACCCCTTTTCTTTGGCCTTGGCTTTGCCTTTGCTTTTCCCTTTTTGGCCTTCTTGCAGGCCTTCCCTGGCTGCCTCTGCAGGGCTTGGGCCAAAGAGGCGGCCCTGTGTGCTTCTGGGAGCCTCCTCCTCCTGTCTCCTCTGCCCCCTGCGCAGGGAGTTGTCAGAGGATGATTCCTCCTCCTCATCCCTGTCCCTCCACCTTCTCTCCCTGTCTCTCAGCTCCCTATCAGGCTCCCTTTCCCAGCCAGTCCAGGTGTCGCCATCATCCCAATCCTTTTCATGACCCCAGGGCACATAGCCAGCATAAGCTCGGCCTACCCACCAGGTCATGTGGTTTCAGATGGCCTTCTTGCAGGCCTTGAGCTGGAAGATTTGCAAGTGATTGAATTGCTGGGCCTTCTTGCAGGCCTTAAGTTGAAGTGCGCTTAGAGGTTGAAAGGTGCCCCCCCACCTATCTTCGGTTTTGAGGCTCAAAAGGCTGCAGGCAACAAACAGATTGCTTTCGCCTACTATGTTAAACCCTTTTGGGTGAACATAACACCCCTGGAACACTCAGGTCATAACCTAAGTACAAAAAGAATGACAGTGAAAACGGTGAGGTTTTTCTTTAAATTTCGTTGGCTATCCCCTGCCCCACAAAAACAAACACTTTACCCAAACCCCAAACCACAATTTTTTTTGGCCAAGAAAAAACTCCTGGCCATGTGCTTTGCACATGGCTGCGGCCTGAACCCTCCTAGTGGCCTTCTTTCAGGCCTTGCCCTGTTAGAAAGGTGTATGCCTTCTTTCAGGCATTCAATCTACATTTTTGACTAAATCGTCTCTTTTTTCTTTCATGTTTTCCTTTGTTATGTCCTCCTCCATGGCCACCTTTTCCAGCTCCAAAATCACAGCGTGATGCCCACCTGGGAAAATCTTTTCCATTCTTTTGGTGCAGCCAATGATGAGCTTCCAATCTCTTCCAAAAAGGCCCATGAGATAGGCTTGGTCCTTGCCCATGACTTTTTTCACTGCTGACCATGGCCTTCTTTCAGGCCTTGGCCCTTCTGCTGCCACCAATGGTTCTGGCTGTGGTGCTGCTTCTTTTTTTGGTCCTTGCTTCTCTGTGGGCCTTCTTTCAGGCCTTAAGCTTTTTGCCTTGGGCAAGGAAGCTTTCTTCGAAGCTGGCTTTTTTTTGCATTCTTTGCTGGCTGGCTTTTTTTGGATTTCTGACCTTCTTTCAAGCCCTGGTCTGCTCTCAACCAACTCTTGGGCTGCCCCTTGTGCAGCTTTATCCAGCTGCTCCTTGCAGCTTACCCTCATTTTTTCCAGAATTGTCATGTTTCTGGAAAAGCAATCTTTCACTTCTTCTTCTTCTTCTTTTGCAGCCTTTGGAGAATTGAGAATGGCTGGCCAGCCATGGGAGTCCACAGAAACATCTGAAACTTGTAGTTTCAAAGTTCTGGCCTTCTTGCAGGCCTGCTCCTCGGGTTCTTTCAAAGCAATTCGCCAGAGGCATGCTGTGAAATTCAGTGGCCACTCCAGGCCCCCCCTGCAGCGCTTTCGCAGAGAAAGATTATCTACTTGGCAGCTCTTGCGCATGATGGAAGCCTGTCATTCACTCAGATTTTCTTATGGTGGCTGGATTCTGTGAATACAGTATTTTTCGGCCAACCCCCTTTTCCCTATCTTTTAATCAATTTCAAGAATGGATTGCCTTTCAGCCCCTGTAGCTCCCTGCAGGCACTGCCTTAGTTTCGAAGAGTCTCTTTTCAGTCTGGTCCTCAATTATTGGCTTGAGTCATAGCAGACAAATGACCTTGTTTCAAAGCTGGAACTGCCCAAGGTCATCCTTCATCTCACTGTCTCCGTTGTGAGCAAGACGTTAATCCATTTATTATTTGAGGACTTTTCGACTATCCTGCTTCAACTGCCTACAGAGCCGGGACTTTGAGATCTTCTGACAGATTTTTTTTGTCGAATTGAATTCTTCCTTGAAGACTTTAGCATTGTGGTGCAAAACCTGCTCTAGACGATTCAAAGCTGTGCTTGTGACTTTATCTTTTCTCCGATAGTCCCAGTCTTTAAAAGCATTACAGCCTACCGGGTCGGCCACAAGTGCATGTGGTCACCTCTAAAAATTTTGGACAGGTGTAGGCCCAAAGATTCCAAGTCCACTTGGGTTTCGCGCCCACAATGAAATTCGGTCTGCCCACCCTTTGGCTACTGTAATGCGTTCTGTCAAGCTTCTAGCAAGCTGAAAATCCTCACAGCACTTTTCAAAATCCATTCTGATAGATGATTGTATTTCAATTTGCCCCACTAACACTTCAAGCTTGAAACCCCTCCTCTTCAATACTTTTGTAAGAATGGCCTTCTCTTTCAGGCCCTAAGACGACAGTAAGGACCCTCAGAGGCACTGCAGTGTAAACTGCCTATACAAGCAATAAACTTTCGCATAGGCACATCACCTGGAGTTTATGAAATAGAAGCTTGCGCGTTGTGAATGCCTCTAATGGCCCCCTACATGCTTGAAAAATGGATCTGACAATTGTAGCTGAAGACTGATGATGGTCTTGACTTGCTGATGATACTACTATATGATATTGATCATGCTATTGATCGATATTGATTGAAAATATTGATCTTTTCTTTCAATCCTCGATATTGAAAAACATATTTTCCTGGTATTGAAAAAAATCATTTTCAATATTATTGAT